GGGGTTTAGGGGTTTAGGGGCAAGGGGATTGGGATAGGCGTTGCTGTTCTTTTGAGGAAAATGGGGCACCTGCTGCATACTCCTTATGAACAACCACCCCAATCCTCTCAAAGGCCTTAACACTATGACCCCAATGAAACTTCCCTATTTCTTGGAGTAAGGTGAAAGGGCCCACCGGTCGGGGGTCCCCATTGCTAGACTTCCCGTTCGTCACCAGATATCGGCGCCTTAAGACTTAGACTAGGGCTTGGCACGAATGCTACACTGTCAAAAAGTGACTCTCAGGAGATGTCTAGATCAGTAGTATATTACAACAAGTACAAATGAGCCGAGTAGTAAAAAACCGAACATGATAGAAACGCCTTTCAAACCTTAAACCTTCAAGCAGAAAACTACTTACCTGAACGTCACATCCCTGAGTCCCACCTCGCATTTTGTCCAGCTCTGGCTCCATCTCGATCTGCTTCGGCGTAGGGTCTTCCTCCACAGTGTGGCAGTGAGCAGTCAGGGCATGATCAGGCTTTGGCTCTTTGAACTGAGTCAAAAAGCCAACCGCAAGACACCAAGCTCAAGAAGGTCAGTGTAACTTGATCACAACAATGCTAAAAACTTAAAAAGCCCTAAAGCCCCACACTCCTAAAGCCAGAAAAGCCCCGGCAGCCTGATCCCTACACCCTAACTCTCCTCCTTTATGCCCGGCTTCGCCGTTGGAGTAGCCAGCTGATCTTTCCTAACAGAGCAGCTTTAAATCAAACAGACAGAACAGGGTTTCTGTATAAGGGTTAATATCAGGGTCCTACAACGGATTAGTATAAGGCCTTGATTAGTCCAACTGCGGTTTGAGGTACTTTCTAGTATAACTATATAGGGACTTTCAGTGGGTAGTACTACTACTAACTAGTTGCGATGCCTATATTGGCTTTGCTGTTGCTCAGCACGATGACTGTGACAAGGGTTGTTGCGGGGGGGGGGGTGTGATTAGAAGCCCTATGCAAAACCGCATGCAAAACCTTATTTTCAGAAACCACACGACCCATACTAAGCCCTAAGCCCCCAAAAAGCAAAACAAGTAACTGCCTGAGAAACCCTCAACCCCAAGCCAACAACTACCATCGAAATCAAACAAACTGAGTTCTGACTTCCTACAGTGAACAGCCCAGAACCTGCACATTAACACAGAGAAGCTTGATCAGACAAACTCAAGAAACAAGCAAACGCACACTAAACCCCAAACCCCTGATACATGAAACCGAAAACCTAAAACAAAAACCTTGCACAAACTTCTGCAGGCGGAGCTTCAGGCTCAGAGAGTGACCGAAGGTGCTCGATCGTCCCAAATCCGAACTCTCTTGGCCGTCGCGACCTGAGAGTGTGTTGTGTTCAGGGTCTTAAAATTCCCATGTGCAGCAACGGCTCCAGGATTTTAAGTTTAGGCCATGTTGAGGCTTCGTAACACTTCTGTAATGTTTCATACGGGCTGGCATTTAAGGCAGGGCTCCAAGGTTCGGGGCTTGAGGAGCTTTAGGATGATAAGACTTTTTGGGTCGCGCGTATTTGAAGCCAAACAGAATCCTCTTTGTGCCTCGCCCTTAATGATTACAACCCTATGTATTTACAAGCGAATTTCTTGCCAAGTCTTCTGAGACTCTGAGTACCCAGATACTCCTATAGAAGCCCTAATGCAAAGTAGGGGCCTAAATAATTACCCGTACTAGTTTTGGGGTTCCTTCTTCTAGTTATAGTATAGATGGACCCCAAAACCCTGTTCTAATTATTAAGGCCCTTATATTACGGATGCCTCCAACCCTTAGGAGGCCCAAACTCCGAAACAGGGGGGGGAGCGGCGCAGTCAACTTCAGGATCGATCATGCACGGTAAAGGGAGTTGGGAGTTTCTCGGTAAGATGGGAACATGCTCTGGGGCCCCACTACAAGGGGGCCATCATAAAGAGAGGGCTCTTCGGTGTATTCTGCTGATCTCTTTCTTTCGGTGAATGACAGACCCCCCCCCATATGACCTGAATCTTCATGTTACTGGACACCACTGCAGAAATTATCGGGACAGCACCCAGACCCGTCAATTGCAGCCCGGCGGCTGGCGAACATCGATGACGAGCCGATGCTGCCGCGTTGCCTGTAGCCCCATCACTTCCCATGAGACACAAACGGAAAAGTATAGCTGCATTGCAACATGCTCTAGCAGGTTAAAGGTTAAGCTTACACTGACAAAAAGGAGCATACTAGAAGCCCCAAACCTTGTGAAAGCGACATCCCTGCAGCGGGCTCGGCTTCGCGTTTGTGCGCTCTCTTTCGCCCCTAAGAGAGCGATGGGGACGTTGCTAACCCCACCCCTAAGCCCTAGACTCGGGAACCCTAGATCAGCCCGAACCCTAACAGCTTGCAGCAGCAGCTGCTGCTGACTGAGGGCCCGGCGGAGAGGATTTCGAGGGGTTCCGAGAGGATTTCGACGGGCTCCGCGATGACTTCGAGGGGGACCGGCCCTTCAAAGCTGAGGGCTTCAGACCAACATATCCCTGCCTCACTCGCTCAGGGTCTCTATTGGTTCTTTACAGAGTCCTGCGGGGCTGTTCAGGATGTTTGTAATCATGAGTTTGAATGGGATTCTATGGGAAGTTTCGGGTTCAGGGGTTGAGGGCCAGGGTTCAGTGTTGGAAACGCCTTCTGCCAGAAGACTGGGCGCCTGAGACGATCGACGGCTTGGGCTCAGCTCTTGCGTGCTGCCGCGCCTGGCGCGGCTTGGACTCTGGCTTGCAGGGTTCCTGTAAAATCCCTAACGGATGCAATACGGGCTCTGCGAGGCTTCTATAGTCAGGGTTGTACGCGGTAAGCTTTGCTTTGCATACTTTCGGGATCCAACGTCTCTTTTGGGGGCCACAAGATTCGGGGCTTCAGGGTAGCAAGTCTTATTTTGAGAATGCGTTCTCTGAGTTTCATGAATCATAAGGATTTACCAAGGTTCTCTATGAGCCCTTTGTGAGCTTCGGCTTTTCTGATGCTAGAAACCGCCAAGTTCGGCGAATATCGACAGGGCGTCGGATTCGGGCCTGACAAGGGATAAGGGCCTGGGGCTCGGGTTCGAAGCCTTCAGGATGGGTTTAGTAACGCTTGAAGCTTGGGCTCAGGGTTTGAGCTTTAGGGTTCTGATGCGTGCGCTGAGTTCGGCTTTGATGCAGGTCAGAAGCTCGGATTGTCGAGTCTCAGGGTTCTATATATATATATATATGTATGTGTATATATATATATATACACGCTCAAGGCCTTTGCTCCTGAAGCCTTAAACCTGAGAAACTCTCCATCCTAAGCCCGAGCTAGCAGATGCAATCCCGAGAACAGGGGGCTTTAGGCTAAAGAGCTTAGCACGCAAACTGCCAGAAAACGCTGAGGAGCACTGCAGTAAATAACCATAAGTATTTTTGTACACACTTCTCTGCATAAATCGCTATGCAGTTACAATGCACGCACTACGGTAACTACACAGAGCCAGAAACTGATGGGGAAGATCAGCATGAAGTTCCCTGACCACGCAATCCTATCCTTGAGCCGCGAAACAAGCCAGACCCCGAACACAGAAGGCCCTCGAAGAGACGGAAACTGCGAGCCCTCAACCTCGAATTAAACCCTTCACGCCAAGTGAACTTTGAAACCATGGCTTCGAGCTTGCGGGAGCAACCAAAAATGGTGGCTTAAGTTGCTGAGCCCATACATATTTCTGACGTGCCCGACCCCGCGAGCCTCCAGGGTGTCGGTAAACCTCAACGCAATACATCACGTGTGAGCATGCTCTGTAGCAGTACATTGCATACATATACACATATACATAATATACAGGTGTATATATATATAAAAATATATGAAATTTATTCATGCTCTGTTGTCGTAAAGAAGGCAAAATCCTCCCTTGTAGTGCTGCTATTGAAAAGGACCGGGTTTTCCTGTGAGCATTCCTAGCAGCCATCATAGCCTTCCGCACTGCATGAGAGCTCTGTAACGTGGAAAGTCTGCTCCGTCACCAGGCGTCGTGCTTCTGCGTGTGCTTTGCGCGAGAGCACACGGAGCCTGCGCAAGGGTGGCCCTAAGCTCCGAAGCATTCAAGAAGGACTGATGATCGAACATCCCCTCTATAGCACATTCAAGTTGAAGATTTGGCTGAGCGCTGAGCATGCAATGTGTGCATCTTCTGATTATTGGTTTTCTTGGCGTGGGGTTGAGGCACGCACTGTTCTGGATCAGATGATCTGGATTGCAACCCGTACACGAACAAAGGACGAGCAATGCACACCTGGACGTAATACGGGCGTGATGGCTTATCATTTGCAGTTCAAAGACCGGAATCATTTCCGAAACTTCGAGCAGGAGCAAAACCAACTGACCCGCAACAATCACCTTTGCAGACGCAACATTATGCAGAGTAACCGAGGCATGCACAACATCATAACACTGTTAAGCAAGAATGTCCCAAACAGCACGCGCATCAACAGAATTGATATTGACCAATGAAAGTCTTTGGGCAATGAATTCGTGCGCGTGCGTGTGTGTGTGTGTATGTTTGTGCTTCACACTTCTGTTCAGACATCGTTTCTATTGTCACTGCCGCCGGCGACATCAGCATCACTGCTACCATCACGACCGTATGCAGCAGCAGGCGCGGCGCAAGAAACAACAGCGTTCAGGGCAGAAGACGAAGAAGCAGCAGCAGCAGCAATCGCAGTAGCAGCACATACGATGAAACCTAGCCTTGTGATTGATTTTATATATTGTGTGTCATCATGTTCACCGTCCGCACCATCAGTACGACAAATCTTTTTTCGGACCTGCCACAGCCGGCCATTGTTGGCAAGTGCTCGATCACGGCGATATGAAGTTGTTGCGCAATGCCCGCCATGACTCAATCTGCGAAATCCTGTACCAGTACACTAACAGTAGCTACCATTCAAACACATTCAATCTGCTTTTCGCGACGCCAGACTGAAGTTGCACCGCACTGTCTCATGTCGCGATGTGGGGAGCTCCTGATTCTGGACGACCCAAACCCAAATCTTCGGACCCAAACTCCAAGCGAAAAACTAGCACGTAAAGCCCAAAGCCGGCGCGCCCTGAACACGTAAATCGCGTAAGCCGCTAAACCCTATGAGCCCTACACCCTGGCCACCCTCTGCACCCTAAAGTCCCTATAAAGCCTAAACCCAATGCCCTAGAACGGCTCGAGGCAAATGGCCTTGCGCGGGCTGGGGGCAGGCTTCGGAGTTGGCACCTGCTCAGAGAGCCCAAAAGCCCAATACCCCTTTCTGAAGGAACAGAGGTAATATAGGGGGTTTGCAGGGTTTTACTGGGTTCTACAAAGGTTGGCCGTTAGAACTAGGACTAGGAACTCTGTGCATGTTCTGCCTCAGAACTTTTCCATGCGAGAATTGCCGAAAGCGTCGTCGGAAGCCCCCGCGACCGACATCCAGACGTGCAGGACACACTTTGCGAGGCTGGGAGATGGTCTGCTTCTGAAGAAGGCCAGAAAAATGCGCCGCTGACCTACGGGACAATTCGAGCTCAGTCAGGGCAGGCGGGCTGTAGGAACAGATATTAATTGCAAGCCTGAATATCACTCCGTCGCTCCGAAATCAAAACAACACCCAACCTCTAAACCCTATAAGCCCTACAAGTAAATCAGTAACTTTGCAAAGCCTTGAACTCTAAGCTCCCCAGAATCCCAACATCCCAGAGGCTGGACAGAGAAGCCTCAGCGGGCTTTTTCTCCTGCACGGTGCCGGGTGGACCTGTCTACTGCGACCTACAGCTCCAAGTTTCAACTCAGGTTTTCTCTTTAAACCATGGTTCAGGGTTCAGTCTCTAGGATTAAGAACAGGGAGAAGCCTTTCCTATTCAGGTTTCTAACATTGATCTTTTTTTGGGCCTCGTGTTCTCGTTCTAACCGATGCTTCGGGTTGCAGGAGGCCCAGGCTCAGGATCTGCCGCGTCACTGGGCAACGCCACCGTTGACCAGGTCTGGAGATCTCAAAGAAGACGACAAGACGCACAACGGAAGACTTTCCCGTGATCCCCCACTACATGGTCTCCCAAGATTCACCCGACCAGCAATATATCAAGGGCATTACCTTTTGGGTCATAACCTACTTTACGAGTGTGTTGTTCATTCAGGGTTGAGGGCTTCGCCGCGTAGCAACATGCGACGTTTTGGTGCACGATATACTGAACCATAAGACGTATTAACTAATTCAGGTCCCCATATCAATCCCGGTGCCTCAAACCGCACGCTGGCCTGCCGAACTGCGAACTCAAAGCCCTAAGCCCAAACCCCAAAGACTCAAAACCTCGAGCTTCCAAGCCTCAAGTCTGAACCTTACACGCTTCAGCAAGCCCTTAACGTCCGAAATCTCAAAAACCCACACCTCAATATATGCCATAAAACCGCCCATACTCTTCGTGCAAAACCAAAAAAACTAGCCTGATAAGCCACCTGTGACTCCATCCCGGAACTCTGCAGAATCCGTCCTGAATGGGGGCCCCATGTAAAAACCACAAGAACCAAAACCTCAAGGAAGCCAAGACAGGAGGGCAGTAGATCAGTAGAGGCATCAGACCTCGCCTGTCGCTTCCGAAGGCTCTTCCAGCGTCTCCGTCAGGGCCGAGGTCAGGCCCTGCCATAGTACCGGGGGGAGAAGAAAGAAGCTGATAAGCTGATTAAAAAAAAACAGCAGGCAGGAGTCGATGAAGCTTGTTTGTAGGATCCTGATCGGTTTGCACGTATCTGCTCGAGTTTTCCACCGTTTTATAAGGGTCTTGTGAAGGCTTTCGCAGGCTTCTGCATGTCAGGGGTTGAAAGGCTTAAACTAGATTTTACATTTTTGGCCCGTATCAGAACTCAAGGTTCGGGTTCTGGGCTGAAGAGGTTTCGGTTCTTGCCGAAGGGCATCTTCCAGGCTTCTGCCAACGAAGGGAACGGCGCGAACCCTGCCTAAACTTCTGCAGTTTGGCCATGACCTTATAACCGGTTGCCGGCCAATCGCTGAAAACGGCTACATGGGAACTACCGCACGGCCTCGTAAGCTTCCGCGCGACTAGGGCCGTGGTCCCAAGCCACTCTCCGAAAAAAACAGCTTCACCTGTGAAGCGCCAAGACTTATATAGGTTGATCCCTTGCTGAAAAATACCCTGTCTTTAAAGGAGTGTGTACAGTGTATACAATACGTCGCTTCGCAATCCACTGCCGCGCCGTCAGCAAGTGCGGCGAAGATCGTGCGAGCTCGGAGTCCAAACCTGGCAAAGGCTGCCATCAGATGCCGTCAGGTTCCTGTGTCTGGAAAAGTGTCTATGCACCTATCCGTGATGTATGTACATGTACTTAGACACACATGGACGTGCATACTCATCACGAGACAGAGATAGACAGCGGGCATGCAGACTCACAGACGCTGGGCAAACGCGCCTGATCAGTACATATTATACTCGCACATACACGTACATACCCCGTACATCTAAGCTAATAAAGTTAACTTCTAAGCTAATAAAGCTAACTTACAGATTTGGAGCCGTGGACCAGTGGTTATGAGGAAGTAGTGCAGGTCACAGGAAAGGGGTGCGACAAAAAAATGAGATAACCCCCAAGACCCAGGCCCAAAACGGAGATGTTGCCATGTGGACATACTGCCTGCAGAATTTGGGTTCGAGCCTGGGGGTGCTGAAGCCACACTATGGCTCCGAGCACCAGTGGCAAAAACGACCCATCGCCAACACTTACAACACACGGCTGGCCTGTGTGATCTTTTGACGTGGTCCATCCGAGATCACAAGCCTTGCAGCAAGGTCTACTGCAGCAAAGCACTTGCTTTGGGACTTGAGCTTCAGAATGGGGTGCGACAGAGTCCGCAACAGACTTCTGAGTCCCCATCCTGCGGATGCTGCAGTCACTACCACCCTCTCATGCAAAATCCAGAAAGACCTGCGACTTTCACATCCCTCCGCCGGTCTCACTAGCACTGAAATTTGGTGTCTTCCGGCGTCTGTCGCAGCTGCTTGCTATTCTGCTGCTGTGCCATTGATGTTGCTCTTGCTTTTCACTGCTGCAGCTACAGACAGACACTTTTGCAACGGTAGTGGGGTGCTGCAGTTGTAGCCGTAATGCTTGCTGCCTCGCAGTGCTGATTGCGGTGGTATGATAATGGTGTTGGCGGTGCTGGCTGCTGTGTAGCGACAGGACTAGTAGTAGCAGCAGCAGTAGTGTTGCGGCAGAAGATGTAGAAGAAGAAGAAGAAGAAATAGAAGTAGAAGTAGAAGCAGCAGTAGGCGTAGAAGGAAACCTTTCCCATTACCCGCCATTTGGTGGGGCACCTTGCAGGGGCGACTCCGGGAAGGAGCCCATGGGAAAACTGCCCGGTTGGCTTCACGCCTCAGAGACTTGGCTTCAGATAGGATCCATGGAGTGGGACTTGAGATGTTGGGCTGTTCGGGTTTCAAGCGTGGACAAAATCTTTATCATTTCAGAGTTTGGTGTTGCCAAAGATAGATCCTAGAGCCACTGGTGGTGGCCGAGTCAGTCGGTGTTGGGGGAGATCTAATACGACCAGCAATAGTCAACAATGATAATTCTCCTCGTCCTCCTTATCCTCTTTCCTGTTTCCTAATCCTACTCCTACTCCTACACCCACTTCTGCTCCTGCGTCTGCGCCTGTTATACTGCTGCTACTGCCACTGCAACTGCCACTGCCACTGCCACTGCCACTGCCACTGCCACTGCCACTGCCACTGCCACTGCTACTGCTACTGCTACTCTTACTACTCCTACTACTACTACTACTACTACTACTACTACTACTACTATTACTACTACTCCTGCTGCTACAACAAGAACTACTACTACTACTACTACTCCTCCTCCTCCTGCTGCTGCTGCTGCTGCT